GATCCACCAAATCCATGATGAAAAGAGTAAAGTACATCAGAATGGTATGGAAAAGGGTTGCACCTTCCAAAAACTTGCAAATTGATGAGACAAAGTATAGTGCTGAAATATAAAGCCAGTGATAAAAAATGTGTTTGGGATGCATTTTTTTTTCTCAAATAAATAAACGGACAGCTGCAACATTTAGCAGGTACTGCTCATCCATCTCGTTGGTGTGTGGGAGCGCCAAGCAAATGACAATCTTGCAAAGTGGATTTTAATCATCGCGGAACTTGATAAGCAGAGAAATCAAGAAAACAAGGAATGTCCCAAATGTGAAATTAAAAGTTTTTCCACAGACCTTGCCATCCCCCTAAATTAAGGTTTACCATTTTAATCCGTGCCACGACATGTGTTCTAACAACGCGGTCCGAAATAATATCTTACAAATTGATAAATGATATTTTGAAGCTAATGTCAAACCTTTAACGCACCCATAACACAAACAACTGAAATCGCTAGACGACAACTTTTTCACTGGAGAATGATTTGCAGATGCTGGCAATATTAATGGATGAATTTAGCTGTCTTGAGAAGTTATTTTGATGACTGCATTTCATTACGTAGAGGAACGCGTTGAAAAAGACATCTGGAGGCAATGCTCCAAACTATCTGGCTTTTAGAATGTGAAATCACAAACAGATCTCAAACAAGAAATGAAAGTGGTAAAACGGCGAGAAGGGACGTCAAAGCAGTGCCAGTAAAAGGAAGTTAGAGAGTTGACAGCACCGCCCTGCTAGCGCCAGCCACTTGAAAACACAAATGCCGCAAGACCACCTGAGCACTTGGCTCGGTAGCTGAATGTTACGACCAACAAATTCATTAATCAGGTCAAACCACAAGGTTCAGATAAATTGTTCAAGAGAAAAACGGGCTGGAGTTCACAATTATGGAAGGAACGTCACCTCTATTAATCAATGAGCAATTTGATACGAAAACCAAGCGTTGCAATCAGCACAGACAGACTTGAAGGATGAGCAATGACTGAATTTGTCTGAAGGAATGATGCATTAATCACGAAGGAATTCAGAAACTTATTCCAGAAAAATGCTCCGTTTTGCATTTCGAGTGATGAAAGCGATGATTTATTAACCAGGGAGAGGACACATTGGATTTTTTATTTTTTTTTTAAGATTCTTTCAACAAGTGTATATTTTGTCAGCAAGAAATATTTCTTCAGCTAACCTCAGCAGCGGCAATCAACAAAACTATTGGTGGATAACTAACCTCGCTATCAACTGCAACTGTCTTGAATGAATAACACAAAACAAAACTCAACATTCAGATTTAAACACAAACTAGTCCTTGGCAATGGCCCGAACTGCTTGGCGTGAAAAGCGTTCAGAAACAATCCAGGAAGCTTGACCACCCTATTGTCTCGTGAGAGTATCGCAACAAATCGTCGTGGAAGACAGCGTTGCTCAGGAAGTACTCAGCCATATCATATCCGTTTCCAGGGTGACATGCATGCTTGGCCTGCTGAAGGATGGCGACTTCTAGCAGAACATCAACAGGAGCTGGGGATTGCCTTTTTTTGGGAGGGGAGGAGGGAGGCATAACTGTACATGGAAGCATTGACATTGGCTTTCAACATATTCGGAATGCACGGTAAATATCAAACTGATATTAGAGGAAAAAAATGACGTAACACCCATTGCACCAATAAACAAAAAGTGCACCGATAAAAGGAACGGCTTTTTGAGTAACACTGGTCTCTGTTAGTGTGACTTTAAGTACTGGGCCTCTGCCACATGATTTAGGAGGTCATAGTGCAGAGCTGTACACAACTCTTTATTTTCATATTTTTCCATGAAATTTTATCGCGCGAATTCCGAAGTAGCAGCGAGCCATTTGTTATACGGCGTTCGTTTTCCCAGAGCGGTTGATTTGAACGGTTTTTGTTTCCTTCAACATCACCAAGCGCCCGGAGGATTTAAAAATGTCTTGCACTTGTGCTCCTTTCATTTGGTGGAAAACACGTACATCAAACTTAGTGCTTGCATCACGCACAACAAATAACCGAAGATTCGCCGGATAAATGAACATTTGGTATGATTTTAATGTGTATTTATGAATATATTTTAGTATTATATTAACACGGTATTAGTGAGGCAAAAACGTGTAGTTTTGCCTCAGCGGCTGACTTTTGGCAAGAGGCGGGGTACACCCTGGACTGGTCTCCAGTCAATCACAAACAGACAAACAACCATTCAAATTCACACCGATGGACAATTTCAGTTTCCAGTGAACATTACAAAGAGTGCATGTTTTGTTTTTGGAATGTGGGAGGAGGCCAGAGTACCGGGAGAAAACAGACACAAGCATAGGGAGAAGATGCAAACTGCTGTTAAGCAAACTTCCCCCGTGCTGCTTGTGCTGAAATCAATACAAGGAAATATTTGTCCAGCTAACTAAAATAAATGTGAAAAAAAAAACTGCTTTACGAAGAACTTCCTGCACATCACTTCGCCTTCCCCTCATCTGGAGCAGTGGCATTGTTCGTAACAGTTCTATTTATCGCTATGATAGGATTCCTCCAGTCATCTTACAGCCTATGATGTTAAAAACAAATAAATAAATACATAAATAAAAGAGGAGCACACAAACAGATCCAATGGAGGCCTCAGATGGAAATGACCCTCGAGGGAGGTCACATGGGCCTGACAAAGAAATGCATCATATGGTTGCAAGGAATTCAAGAATTTGCGTATGGTTAGAGATGATGAGGACATGAAATATAATCAAACAATTGTTTCCGACGATGTCAACATATTGAAGGAGTGAAAAATTGTGCAAATAAGGCAATAGCGGGCAGGTTAGAGAGGATCTTTGACGGAGAATGTATGACAGATTTTTTGGGGAAGTCGCGCTAAGGGTATGTGCTGTCGAGGCATTCAAGGGGAAGTCAACCCGAAAAAATTTCTTTACAATATGTTCCCTGAGCCTTCACTAGTCAAAACACAGCATTCTCATTCATATTTTGTTTGTGGAATATGAGTTAAGCAGCGAAATCCACCCGTTTTTAGCCATCTCAGGGGGCGGCCATTTTGCCACTTTCTGTCAGCTGAAAATGACCTCACAGTTGTTCAGGGATCAGGTGACGACCAATTACAGCTCACTTATTTTCAGAAGCTGAGCCATGAATCATATATGTTCACTATGTATACATATATGTAATATGTATATACTGCACAAAAGTCTTATGCCACCACTGCCTTTGTTTTTACGCATCTTCTTCTTGCACACTTAATGACGCAAATGGCACATGATCTCTTGTTGGGCATGCTGGTTGATTGTCTGGCCCAAGTTTGTAGTTGTCTTTTTTTTTTTTTTTTGGTCACATCAGTCCTGGAGGTTTTTGACACACCTCAGATAAACTAGTAAAGTAGGACAGATAAAATGTGTATGTGCATGCACAACCAACAAAACCACACTTGAAAAAATGTGCTGTGTTTACTCACTTTCAATTTTGTCACGTGGTTGCACAAAATAAAACCATCTGAATCCAGATAGAGTTTTATTTAAGTAGAAAGTGCATCTACTTTAAGATTATTTTGTGTAACTAACTGTTTGACATAACGGCATCTTCCGTCTGTTCATAATCCTCATTTAACCAGGAAGTAGCCTGTTAACTAATTAATATAGGGACAAAAAACAGAGATGGTGCTTCATGAATTTCTTTCGCTTTCCTGAACAGTTGAGTCCTCACAGACATATGTGTGTGACTGAGTGATGGGTTCTAGTTATTAAGGCATTGCTAAGAGAGCAAATGAAATGGCGGACTAACACCTTTGCACAGTAATGTACTGTATATTATAAAAAAAAAAATATATATATATAGCCTGTCTGCCTCACAGTTTTGAGGTTCTGGGTTCAAATCTCAACTCTGGCCTTCGTGTTGGGAGTTTGCATGTGCTTGTTTGAGTTCTTGCAGGGTACTCTGGCTTCCTCCCACTTTCCACATGCATGCATGTCAGGTTAACTGAAGACTATACATTTTCCATAAAATGAGAATGGGAGTGGATGTACATTTTTCTCTCTATGTGCTCAAAAATTGTCTGGCAACCAGTCCAGGGTGTACCGCGCCTCTTGCTCACAGTCAGCTATGATAGGTGCCGGCTATGCAACCCGAATAAGGGACAAGCACAAACAAACAATGGATGGATGGATGCCCTCCAACCCAAGTAAACGCCATAGCAGAATAGATACTTTGTGCCCTCTCTACAGTACTGTAGTTGAATGAATTAAACTGGTCATGATATGAGGGAAGGTTGTTTAAAATGAAATCTAACAAGTCTCTTTTTTGACTTTATGTCAGCTAAACACTAGTGTGAAACGTACGTTATATGAAAGGGAGTGCACCAGACGAAAATGCTGCTGATTTTAAGTTGCATTACCGAACATTGTACAGTACTCCAAAATAAGGCGTGCATCCATGGCACATTGCAGAAGAGAGCGTGGTGTGCAGAGGCCCAGCGAAAAGCAATGCCAAGTCATTACAACGCCGCATCCAGATGCATGATAGCTTAGGTTGAGCATCGAATAAAAACAAGAACATGTTGTGCAATTCGTTGTTCTTTTTTTTTTGTTGTTAGTTTGTTCAGCGTAAGGGCCTCTAGGAGTCTAGGCTGCAATACAAGCACAGCATGTGCGGTGCATGCAGTTCTATAAATAAGAGCAGATTATTCAATATTAAGACGAGATGAATTGTGCTGCGAATTAAACAATGGGGGTTCCTCAGAGGAAAAAGCAAACACGTCACCCCATTTAATCAAACGCAAAAATCAATAACAATAATAACAAATATTTAAAAATAAAACGACGTCATTTTTGGGGGTGCCTACAAGCCCAAAAGCCTCCGCGATCGACGAGGCGTACGTCTCGGCTTCATGACTCCGCAGTTTGACAAGACTCACGACGGCTGGGACGGCCTTTTGTCACTGCTGAAATATCCAATTTACCTCCAGTGTGCGGATTTCTTGCTGCGTGAGGTCGTTGGACGCGGCGCATTTTGTCCTGAGTCCCTGCAAGCTGGAGATGGAGATATCTATCATGTTCTGGATCAGTTCGCACTGGTGGAGCGCGGCCATGGCTGCGTCGCCCCCACCGCAACCGCCACCGTCCCTCTCCGGTTTCTCGCCACTTTCGACCATGTTCCCGCCGATAGTAGACACACTATCCATTCCTCGGCATTTGGGCTCGGCTGGGAGGGCTTGAGTCGAAGCGTTACTGGATAAAATCCGACATATGCAGCAGCCCCAGTGAACTATTGTGACAAGAAGCACCTGACCGAGCGACTGTCCCCAGCTTCCGATCCGGAGTCTGATCGAAGGCAATGTATCTCGTTTTCTTTAAATCCAGTGAATATGATCGATGGAAGGAGATTGTTGAAAAGCTCCCTCGATGTGACGTTTAAGTCCGTTGTTTCGCGACAAGAGAGTCTTCTCCCCCCCGCCAACAGACAGTTCTCTGCTAGTGGCTTTCAGCGTCTGTCAGCTGTTAGGAACATCATGGGGAGAGCGGTGCACTATGGGAAATGTAGTCTATAGGGCGTGCCTCCCCCCCCCAGCCGGTCCGCCCATGGCAGACAAGGCAACTGTTTTGTGCTCCAGCTGTTAGATGTTAAAGTTGCCACTTGAGTCAACAAACAGCAAGACAACACAATGTGAATTGGCTGTGCAAGAAAAACAAATCAGTAAAAATTTTATTGCCATGAATATAATATGCCAATGATTGACGAACTGGCTGCAGGACTCACATATGTTGGTTTATTAAACATGCATGCTCCACCTCTGCGATTCCCAACACAATTTTTGAAAAAATGAATAACAACAATTAACGATCTATCAATGCCAGCTACACAGAGTGAAAGGTAGGAGATAAAAACGAGCTGTGTCTTCACCTGTTTCCATTCAAACATCAGGACAAGTCATGGCTTCCTGCGAGTAAATCAGCTATAAAACAGACCCGGATTTTACACAAAAACATTTTGATCTTAAATCGAGACGAGATGATCATGATTTCAATATTTCATACTTTGTGATTTGTTTTTTTGTGGAGGAGGTGCGGGGGTGGGGGGGGGGGTGCTGTGACATTTTTCTATGTAAAATGGGCTTTGCGCAATAGAGTTTGGTATGAAAGAAGCCAAAAAAACATGGTGTGAGCCAGAGTTAAGATTGTGATCCAGGCCTTCTCTCAGGTCCACCTCACACATTCCCATAGAAACACTCCAGCATCTTTTATAAATTACCAGTAATTCAATTTCCCATCATGCACTGTACTCATTTTTTACACAAATTACACACATACACACAAATATACCGCTGCTATTCAGTTAACTCTTTCCTGTAGCCAACACAGCAAACAAACACCATTATATTAGGGACACACAGCCAGGGACAGCCTTCTGGTGCCTTGGGGAGCCACCGACATGACTGGCTCAAGGGCACTTCAGATGTGATGGCCTGTGCCAAAGGGGGGCTCGAGCCTAGGATCCTTCAGTCACGGGCTTTATTTTTAGCCACTTGGCCATGGCTGTCCCAAAAGAGTGAATGCCATTATTCAACTAGATTGCTAGCAAGCCACATGACATCACAGGGTAGTCAGTATAGTAAGGCTGTTGGGGAGGGGGCGGGGGGGCATTCTACTACATATGCACTCTTATATTTTGATAAAGATTCATGATCAAAACTGATTTTGCAGACATCTCAACAGGTGGTGCTCAACATCATCACTCTTTCTTCCTACTCACCTGTTTCCACACAGAATGGAATCAATCAAATGTTGACAAAATGTGACCAATTCCCATTTTATTGCAAGTTCAAGATGAAGCCATTCATCCTCGTGTAGAGAAATAGGGTGCAAGAGCTATCAGTGGTACACTCACACACAAATCTCATTGATGCCATGAGGGTGTGATGTTCATTCTTTTAATATAGGCTAATTATACAATAGAACGTGAGTCATTTCTCAAGGAACCTTGTGTCCATCTCACTATACTTTTCTATTTGCAAGGGGCTTCAGGTTTGTTCCATACCAGGGAGCCATGAATGGACGAGTTGGTGCACAAGTGATATGATAAACAATGGCAACAGTTCATTGTGGAATGTGAAGAGAAATTGTTTTGTCCATCAAATATTGTACCCAAAGCAGAGTACAGTGATCTATTAGTAGTTCACTATTGACAAAAATCACTTATTTGCATTTTTTCCCCCCCTGTGGAACCTATTTGATGAAAAAACTCCCCTTATCACATTTTCACAAAGCCCTGGAGAATAGGAAAGTAGTAATTTATTTAATGGACTAATAGGAGAGGGTTCATCCAATAGACAGAGCTGATTGTTCATTAAAGTACTTTTTTTCGGAGCCTAAAAACAACCAATACAGTACAATTGTTTTCTACATTTGCCATGGCCTAAAAACACCTGGCAAAAGTTAAATCAATCAAAGTTTGATAATCCTTCTCTGATGGTTCAATTGACATCTCTCGTGTTGGAGCCATGACTCATGCAGGGTGTAGGCAGAAAGTTTTCAGTGGGGTGACACAACACCTCAGTGAGGCATGGCCAGGGGTGGCCGTGCGTTCGTCCATCATTCTTGACAAAAAACATTTCAAATACTACTCAGCCATGTTGTTTGCTTGTCATGCGTGTACTGTACCCCTCTGAAAATTAAGTATAAACAGTGGGGATTTTTTTTTTTTTTTTTGGTGTGGTTTTGTTATTATGCAACTTTTTGTTTTAATGAGGCCGCACTGTTCTAACAGAACAGACTTGATGGTGTCCAGCCAGCAGCACAGCGTGTGCCACTTTCAGCTTTGCCTCCAAATGAAAAATGATAATAGCAGTTGTAGTGCATATGAAGAGAGAGAGACAATATAGCTTGGTTATGCTATTTACTATGTGGCGTTATCTTTCTGCTTGGTTGTTACATACAGTAAAATACTATTGCATTTATACAACAACCACAATAAACAACAGAACATGATATTTTGAAAGGAATGCATTGCGATAGATCTCGTGCATCGGGACATGAGAGGCACAGAGATGGGGAAGACCAGCGAATAGAAATGTTTAGTCAATGTTGCTAAACACTCATGTTGCTTCACCCAGGAAGGAAAGAGAGTACAGTATTTGTCTTATCTTTCACACTTTGTCTGTTGTGTCACCAATTGGACAACTGACATACAGCAGCATGTACAAATACATCAGCATGTATTAATACATTAAAATGGACACATTCTTATGTTAAGCGATTTTATCGTGGCCATTTAAACGTCAAGTAGCTAATTTGCAGCATGAGTGGATTCAAAAATGTGAAGAGTCCTCACCATTTCTTGCTCTTCCTTTTCTCCCCCCTCTTTGCTGTCGTTTCCCATCCAAAAACATGTTGCTCTGAAATCAAACCTGATTATTCATTCGACTAAAATGGATACACGTCATAAAGGTGTCGGGAGCATAATAACGGTCAGATAGGTAGATTGTGAGTCACTCAGCTGAGGAAGAGCATGACCCTGGATCATGCAGTCCAACAGTGTTCTTCTTAAGCTGTTTAAAGAGCAGCCAGGTGGCTACACTTGGCATGGAGCTCACATCAGACCAAATGAGATTGGAGACAGTCAGCCGCCATCTTTTTTTTTTATTACTGCAGAGAATTCCCAACAAGCAAACTATCAAGTTGGAGTCCTTTTTCAAGTTTGTTGCAACTTTCGGCTGCATGATGGGTTCCGTGGCCGATATTAGAGAATGTAATGTATATATTTGGTGTATGCAGATGAAATACCTGCTATTCAGCTTGCGGTCAGAGATCCAGCAGATAAAGTGATTGTGTCATTATTTACTCTCTCTATCTAATTTAACACATATGCACGGTTTGCTTACTTTGAAAAATCTTGACTGATGAATAAGCTGTAAACATCGAAGGCACCAACCGATTGATTCAATGCAGGCGGTGAACGCATGTGAAGATGGTTACTGAGCGCCACCTGCCGGACAACTGTAGAAGATTCTAAATGTATAAATGCTCGTGCCTGCTCCATTCGGCCACGATTAAACTTCGGTGAGTTCAGCACTGAATGGGTGCAATCTTAGAAAACAAATGCAAACGAACGAGGCTACTGCTTCTTCTAGATTGGAGTTTGTAGAGTATGAAAAAGAAGGGAAGAGGCTGAAAAAGTGAAACGATCCTGGATTCTGCAATGATTGATGGCGAATATCATTTGATCAATACCAAATATGAAATTGTTTTCTTTTATTCAGACAACCCAAATAAAAGGCACATACCATTGCGCATGTTCATGTAATTATTTGACAAACATACATGAAAAAAATGCAGGAATGTTTGATCTAATTGGAAAGCCTACTTTCTTGTATATACAAAATTACCATTGTTAATATTCTAATACAAAAGTTTTATTTTAAAAAAAGGGTTATTTTATCTTTCACATCTATCTTTACTAACATATCCGCAGACCTAAAATAGTTTTGTACAAAGATATACATTCAACTGCTTTCACGAGGCTCATGGAATTTCCAATTCATATTTGTCTTAAAAAATAAAGAGATGTTCAATTCAACAACAACAACAAATGTTCAGTTCATCACATCATCGCTGTATCAAATTTGGCAAACAGTCTATTATAGTGTATCTACGCAATACGTAGGCCTACATTAGGAAAATAACATTTAGTTAAAAAAAAACAAACAAAAACAACAACTGAACAACAACAATCATGCATAATGCATTTTTTTTCCAGCATCAACTGAAAGTCTTCAGGAGTTGTAACACTGTCAGACAACAATGCATTCATTAAAAAAATATGTAAAGTTCAACATAGTTATAGTGTTCAGGGTCATGCAATTTCAGTCCCGTCCAAATATTTTCATTACCTTTATATATATATATTAAAAAAAAAAAAAATCGCCTGTCAGTCCTCAGTGGGAAGAACAGACTGAGTCTGCTGTTTGTTGGAAAAAATAAAACAAGATGTACAGTAGATATGCCATTGGACAGCAAGTCAGTGAACGGTTATGCTTTTAAAATACTATTTTTTGCCCTGATGGAAGTAGGCAGGTTTGTAGGCAACCAAAGACTTGAAACGCTCCTTCATGCGACATCTGACAATCACTCAACTATTTCGACAAAGGGAGTTTAAACACCCCCCTCCCAGAAAAAAAAAAAAGTTTAAAAATAAACATTCAACATTCAAATCAAGATGAAATCCTGACTCACCAAAGAATAAGCTCACTTGAAAATTTATTTTTGGAGTATTGTAGGTACTGTAATATTTACTTGGCAAACAGAATCACTTTTACACAATGACCCTTGGAATTAATACACTGTAAATGATTTGAGTGTGACCTGTATGATATTACAGTGAAAACAACAACTCAATTAAAAACAATCAAAATAAAGCAACCTGCCCCACCCCAGCCAAAAAAAAAAAAAAAAACAAACAAACATGTCAGCAATCGGTAGCTGTGCCCCAAAAATAACATTTTGTCCTGGAAGGCTGTGGAGATGTTCCTTACTGGTAATCATTCGAATGACCAATTTTTGTTCTGCGAAAAATCTCCTTAGGTACCAAAAGATTTTCCAAACCAAATAAAGTTAACACAAACAACAAACACATAGAAGTCCAGAATGAATATGTGAAGTCCATGTTCTTTCAAAAGGTGTGTTTCCTGAGTGAGTCTTTTGGGGCAGTAGGAGATAAACGGTGGTGATGCGGGGAGGTTGATAGAGGATTCAGACATCACATCAGATACATTTTTATGACAAAAAAAGCTTGAAATGCTTCACGATACCCCCGTGCCTTTCCAGTTTTAACCACTATGAAGGCGAGAGACACAGATTGGCTTGACCTTTCATGTTAATACTGCTGCTGCTCTTCAACTGTGTAGGACGCACGTGCGTTCAGTGCAAGACTCAATCCACTACGACTCATTGGGGGAAGGGGGGCGGGGGTAAAACAAGTTAGAACATATTAACACAAGTCTTCATGATTCCATAAAAATATAAAATTACAAACATTTCATCATCAAGCGGACACTATTTGAGGTATCCTCTTGAAAAGACACGTAAAAACTTTAAATGCACACTATGTCAAATTCACATCTGTACCTCAAGAGCGTAGTAACTACTATCTGAAAAAAAAAATGGAAAAGCTGTATCAGGGTGAAAAAAATATTCTCCCATGCACTTGGAAGCTGCTATCCCTTTTTTTTTTTTTTAACTACACTTATTTCCTACATTAAATGTGGATAACCAGGCTTTCGTTAGCGTACATAGCAATCACAAAAGCCTGTGGGAGAAAAGTCGGTCCATCTCTCCTCTGCAATGGTAACTCCCATCTTCACCCTCCAAAAACAACTCTGGTTCATCTTCCAAGACAGTCCATCATCACGAGGAAGGAATCGCCTGACACGCTGACACAGTACAGATCAGTTTGTCACTCTAACTGACTTAACTAAATCCTAAACTTGTCCTTTTTTCAAGGACGGTCCTATTTTGATTCGACTCAAGCGTTGTGCATCTCCTATCACTCTTGTAGCATGAGTCATGATGCATCTGAGACAGCACAGTCAATGCAGCACCCGCTTGGAGGCGTGACAGAAAAAAAGTTTTAGGGTGGGGAACAAGAACAAAAAAGACCTGGGCCTGAGGAGCAAATTGTGAGACACTGAATCTTGTTTTATTTGATTTTCCCTTTCGTTGTGGCCAGTTCAATGCTCTTCTCCTTCTCCTTTTTTGTTTCTTTGTTTATTTTATTTACCAGGGTGGGGAAGATGGCAAGACTTGGGACAAGAAAGGCATGCTATCCACTGGCCTCATGGCAATGTTAAGCGGGCCGGCGATATTCATTGGCATGGGTGTGGTTATTGCGACTGGGTGGGCAATATTCATGGACGCGGTGGCGGGGATGTTGACAGAGGCGATGTTGACGGGCCCGGTGATGGTGAGTGGGTGCTGAAGGCTGACCGGCGACGTGATGTTGACCGTGTTGGTACTAATGTTCATTTGCGCCGCTATGGTGACGGCGTTATTGTTGTTGTTGTTGTTGGCGTTGCCCCGATTCATCGCCGTAGTGTTGGGAGCTGAAACCGTCACGGGTGTAGCTGAGGCAGAGTTGCAGACCTCTTCTGGGGAGCAACAAGGAGCAGTCGTCAAATGTTTACTTGGTTCAGAATTCTCAATGTTACCAAAATTTGACAAACATGCATTTGTAAGTTGGCATAAAAAAAAAAAAAAAAAAATGCGCCTGAAATGGTTGATTCCTCCTGTGTGTTTTGTCTTTTCCTCATCTTTTTTGTGATGCTCATTTTAAAAGCCACCACAGAATCTCACAATTGACCTTAGGTTTAAGTAGAAAATAACGATAGAAGAAGGGACATACTCCCGACTCTGAATTGCATCTTTATGTGGGGTGACTTGCATTCCAGGCAGTAATCCTTCTCCACTTCCAAATTTCAAATGTCTTACTATTCACAGTGCTTCAATTCAGAATATCCATTCTTCTTTACAGGAGGAGGGACTGGAAAGCGGGAGCATATGCCAGCCAACTTTGGGGCGAAAAGCGGACGACATAACAGACTAGGCAACAGTCAATCTCAGGGCTCGCTGGTTTTCATCTGTTAATGGTGGCGGATATGCATAACTGGGAACGTCTTACGGGAGCTAAAATTCCGAGCTGCTGGCCAAGCTCAGCACTGTATTTGAAGGGATAGAAAGTGAGGTTTCAGTAAAAAGGTAACTTAGTTAAAAAAAAAAACAAACTAAAAAAATAGGACTGAGACCGGTAGTGCACAGGATATAGTGTACACTCACACAAAATATATAATAATACTCTACACATATAAATATACTTTTTGAAAAAAATATTTCCCGTACACTTCTTGCGATCAACATTGGTGCAGTTCAAAAACCAAGGTTCCACTGCATTCTTAGGGGCTATTGTCATGTTTTTCTGCCAGGTACAAAATACCTTTGTTACAGGAGTTGAAGTTGGCTTGGCCGTGTGTCTTCAGGTGGCTGGTGATGTAGGCTGCGCTCAACATCTTCCCACAGATGCTGCAGGTCACCTTTCCCTCGTGTCTGATCATGTGAGAACGCAGACGGTCTTTGGTGGCAAAAGCAGAGGTACACGCCTGCCAGCCCCAAAGCACACCAGGTTAAAGGTCAAACAATGACAATAACCTCGACAGTAAATCCCATCAAATGTAAATAGAGGGCAGACGTACCGTCACTTGACATTTAAACGGTCGTTCGGAAGAATGAACATGCTTCACGTGACAACTCAAGTGGTCGGGCCTGCCGGAAAAAAAATAAAATAAATAAATACTGGTCAAGAAAGTCATGAGGTTAGACGTGTTATGCAGAAAGGCCCTTTGGATCCAGAAACACATTCTGAGTGCCAAGTATTAATAAATGACCCTAACGTGTTTACTCAACCACTTTCAAATGATTGCTAAAATGAAATGGAGTTCTCAAATGGAGATGGTGCAGTATCACATGATCACATAGAAATGTAATTACCATTACCATCAATATTAAATCAAATAATACGTAAGTTTCCTATTACTTTTATGAGCTCCACTGCGCACATCCGTATGCTGTATGCTTGCTTTGAGGGGCTTGTGTGGGCCCTTAAAAGTTGTGTCAGTGGCAGTTGATTCTCCACAATCAATCATGCGTGATTTAGTTTGGCCTAGTTTCAGGAAGCACCACACTGAGATGGTGTACCATTACATTGTACACTTGTTTACTCTCAGGAAAGTGGCCGTTGATGCTGACACAGCTCTCAGATTCATGTATTTGCTTGCATAAATACTAAGTGAATACTAATGTCATGCAAGTATTTCGGATTCAGCCCCCTGGATTTTTGCTGCTTAAAGTCCGGTGCTAATTTTACATAGCGTCTCTCTCAGGACGAAGAGAAAATGTAGGGCGCAAAGTTAGTTCAACTTTATGAAGGCTGAACCCAGTTGAAATGTTTTATATCTGACCAAACCAACACATATTTTACCTTTACTCTCGAATGACCTTCAAAACTAAAATCTTGTTTTATTCCACAATTAAATATTACTGGAATCTGAACTCTTCGTTTATGGAAAGGCTAATGTGAAACAACATGTCTATTTGCATTAAAATGCCATTTTCAGATTGCTTGTCCGATGCTAAATTTAGGTTGAACATAAACTTTTGGAATGAATGTGCTGTCATGCCAGTCCTTCAAAAATAAAAATGAATCACCTCATTGATGACAAGAGTTATCGTCCATTCCTTAATTAAAAGCACATTCCCTTAGTGAGACTTTGCCTTGTTGACCTTTAACGGTGAGTCTCTTGCATTGATAATCTCAGTTTGGCATGGATCCACCACGGACAGCTGGATAGTTCTGGTGACGCTGAGGGTTGAATCATGCTAGCGGGGGTGAGTAAGGGCGCTTGCGTTGGCAGTTGCTTGAGAGCCGGAAAGATTCAGTCTGCTGCATTTTTTTTTTTGCCTATCCAAACAAATGAGAAGTCACATTGAAGCTTCTCAGTCCTATGAGCCGGAACTTTTTTGTTGCTTTTTTTTTTGTCCTAATCCAAGAGGAGCAGGCAAAATAGAATGCAGTGGATGCCAGCAGATCAAGCTAAGTGGCAGTGACTCAGTGCCCTTTTCTTCAGTGCCCATTCTCGCTTTCCAGCATGCAGACAAATGCCTTACCCACGTCACTGGAGGCATGCCTGAAAGTGGCTCACATACGAGCGTCATGGTGTAAGCACAAATGGGGCGCCGCCTTTGTCGCATTAATATTCGCTGCTCATGAGAAAAAAAATAATGCCAAACACATCAAAAGATATGAAAAGTCAGCAGGTTGCTATTCGTTTTTCTACATAGTCATAAGGTGGCCACTAATAAAAGTCTTTGCAAACAAAGAAGGGGACTGATGAGAACTATATTTGATATTACATTTAAAACAAACCCCACACATCAATGTATTTAGCTGAACAGAAATAACCGACTGACAGCGTAAATAGTCAAATAGTCAGCGGTATCTTCCCCACTATCCGGTACCGAGCTCTCATCTGTGTGCCCCTCCCGCACAAAACAGACCACTTGGGTCAAATTTAAGAAAGTGAGACATACGAGCGAAAGGGTACTCGTAATGTTTTCCAATGATGTATAGGTTGTGGAAATTGGGTTAATATTTGGAGAAGATGTGTCAATTTAAGGATCAGGATTTAAGTAGCAAAGCCTAGTTTGAATCACAAATCTGAAAATGGATAATTTTTTACATTGTGCTTTTTTGACACCAGTTAAAAACACGGCCGTGAGACTTCTGATTGGTTTGGTGCTGTAGGGTCACTCCCCCCCTCCCCCCAAAAAAAAATGATAGCCTAAAAGCACTTAAACACAGTTCCACAGTTTTCTCATTCTATTCTGATAAGATGATCAGTAGAAAAAGGAGCACTTTGGATACGTCTGACAAGAAAAGTTTCGGAGTTGACTGTGCAATTTAGTTTTTTAAAATGTTCAACCTTACCTGGAAAAACCTTTCCCACAGACGGAACACACATAGGGCTTATGGACTCCACCATCATGAGACCGAACATGGTAGGTCATTCGGTCCTTCCTTTTAAACCGCTGGTGGCAAATGGGGCACTCGAAGGGCTTTTCGTCCGAATGGGACAGCTTGTGGCGATTCAGATGGTAAACATCACGGAAGGCCTTGCCGCACATCTCACAGCCATGGTTTTTCTTGACGGGTTTGGCAGGTTTCTTCGGGACAGTCTGCTGGTGGTGCGGAATGTTGCCCATTGCCGAAGTCATGATGCTCGCTCCCGAAGAGACGGACGTGGTCGCTGTGGAAAGGATGCCCGCCGCCGTGGAGATGTAAGAAACATTTCCGTTGTTCTCTCGCTGCATCGTGGAGATCATTGGCACCATGGTCGGGGCCGTCTGCGCGGTCTTCTTTGGCCGCGACACCATTTTGATACCTGTGTGGCTGGATTCATGGCGTCGCAGGTGGTAGCTGTCGCGGAAGGCTTTGTTGCAGTAGCCACAAACAAATGGCGTTTTGCCTTTGTGCTCCTTCTTGATCACAGGCACGGGTGGCCGTCCACCTCCTCCGCTGGCCACATTGTCTTTAAGGAGATCGAGAGCAATGGAAGGGTTCTTCTGGTCGATTTGGATGGGAAGCACAGGCTTTTGGTCGATTGGTTCACTTCCTGCATTAAGAAGGGGCAGCAGGCTGTTCTGGGCCACCTGGTGCTGGTGGTGGAGGGCTTCATTAGCCTGCTGGTGGAATTAAAAAAAAAAAACAAACGTAAAGAGGGGGAAGATAAGAAATGCAAGGGGAATGGCAACATCACAGGAATGTGTTTGAATCACGTTTTTAAAATAGTGTTTTTGTACATTTTAAACATTATTGAATTTGGTGGTAATACATTAAACCAAATTAGTCAATCAACTTAATGCAGTCCATCAGTTTTCGAAGCAGGTCGACATTTTAGCAAATAAGCATTTCCATTGCTTCCAGGGAAATGTATTCTGTAAAATACAATACATTTTGGGTCAAACTAAGCTTTAAATCCGTATTTAATCCGAGTCATTTAAAGTCAGATGAATGAAATCCTGAACTAAAATTGAAATTGAATTGTATGAGGGTGTTACAAAACAGAACTATTTCACCTCAAGATGGCAGTGGCAGTATCCAAATGGACTACTTCGCAAACCCTCAGAATGCCAATGACAGCAGTGTTTTGGTCGAAGGCCAACGGTTGAGTTTTAATTTGACAACTGTGAGAGCCAAATGGGCTCCAGACTTTTGATTTCGGAAGAGGATTTGTCAGTAATGAAACTGACGCCACATGACACACCAATACAAAAGAATCCAAATACTGGACCTCCCCCCGCAAAAAAAAAAGATCCAATTATGACCCTGCTGATTCATCCAATGACCGTCAAACAAACATTCCAAGCTAGAGGCATAACAGAGTGTAGGATGCCGCCAAAAAGGCTCTAAAGAGCAGACCATTATTTTTGCAATCGAACAGCAACACATTTGCGGGTCAAGAGAGGTCGTAAAAAGCAAATATCTAGGTTATAAAGCACAATGGAAAGTGGCACAGCAACTCACTGCTTTGTGGCCTTGCCCGCAAACACATCAGACTTGATATTTAGATAAACATTCTCATAAACTTCATTAGACCTTTTGGTGGAAAGTGGTAAATTCTGCAATTATTCTGACTGATGATATTAAATGTCCAGATGCAATCACAACGAATACAAATATATGGTCACTTTTATGCTGCAATAATAAATTCTGAGATTTCAACAAGAAAGTTGATAGTTGGCTGAGGAAAGACTTCATAATGTCAATTGGCAAACTTGAAGGAATTATTGGTAGAACAGCGGTGTTTTTTTTTCCATGTACACTGGACAGTACAATTCAGTTTCATTTCAATTTTAGGTATACCTTCCAATTCATTTTCAAATAATATTTAGCTGCTTGTAAAATATATAATAACAGGTAAATGAAAGTTGTATTCAACTGGTGTGTAATACATCTATTATTAAATCGTGAGGTAGTTCTTTTGCTGCCCTGCATTTGTTTATTATTGTGCATCATGTAACAGTGGCGTACGATCGGAAAATATACCTTTGGGAATTAAAGAGAAAAAGAACTTTTGAATGACCCGAGGCCTACTATGTTACTGTATTTTCATATTGGTCATTATGGTGTTACTTGGAGAGCTAAGCATTTTCTGAGTTGGTGTTTGGTTTGGAAAAAAAAATTTGAGAAAACCTTCCTTGCCGTATAACAGCAGAGAACATTTCATAACGTGTGAGCAAATAAAAAAAAATGGTGGTACACTCAATGCCGTTAGCTCGGTAAAACAGTCCTGATGCAAAAAAAAAAGTGTTGTCAACCAGCAGCAAGAATGGCCAAGGTGAAATGCTTGACCTTTCCCTTTGAGGTTCAATCATCCATCGAAGAAGGCCAGCCAAGAAAGAAGTTGCAAGAGTAAAAGGTTGGGGCTCGGAAAGAAAAATGAACCGCACAATGTCCTCCTTATGTCATCTAGCCTATTGTGAAAGACACAAATCTGAGCAGTGATGCACTAGGGCCGCAGCAGGGGTGCTTTGTATGCTCATCTTCATTGATTTGGCTCATCTATTCATGAGCCGGGGACATTGTTTATCCACACACCGCTCAGCGAAGCTCGCAGTCAGTTTGCAGGGGAACCTGGGAGGGGAACTCATGCAGCTTGCCACCAAGCCCACCCATTTCTCGAAGCACCTGCTCACACTTGCCACCTTCCGGGATTAGTCATCATAATGCAATGCTACCTCGTCCCACTGGCGCGCCAGGCGTTGTCGGGGTGCCGTTTGGGGTGGCGGGGCGATCCTGTGGAAGCTTGTGCACACATTGCACGCAGCGTGGCCCCGATGCAGAGGTGCAGGGCCCGTTACAAGCTGCTGTGCGTTCACGCAGCTCTGACCGTTTTGACACAAATACGCTCTGACAACTGAGGCTGCTCGCTCATAAATAACATCAAAATGGAGGGAGTGTCCTGACGGCTCCACAGGCCACTGTAGACTTGAACAGCTCTCGCAGTCGTGAGTCCGATTATGTGCCGTCTTGCCTCCATCTTTTGTGTCTCACTATACAGCTGCTTGGCATAATCCCATTTTGGACCAAAACAAAGGCCATGTGAAAAATGGTAGAAAGGGGAGGGAGGGAGGGAGGGAAAAGAGGGAGAGCTGCAGAAATCACTGTTTAATATAAAAAAAAAAAATGATTTCAGTTTTGCTTGTAAAAACTATTTCAGTTCCTGATTGTTCCTGATTCTTAAAGTGTTCCTAACCAGAATTCTACAATCCACAGTCACTTTACTGAAAGCTAACGCCTACAAATTATTGGGAAGTATAATTAGGAATAATGTATGTAAATTAAAATACAGCTAAAAGTACTTTGCAAATCCCGAGCTGTCATATAAACCGATAAACAAGGAAAAAAAAGAAAAAGAAAAACAAAAGAGCCAAAATAAGGCTATGAATTTTCATTTGTTTTTACATGAATTGAAATGCCAACATGAGTAGTGTGACAAAAAAGATGGTCACTCACATCACAATGCAATGCAATTTTGTTTGATGATGATGGATGGATGGATGTTAATGTCGAGCAAGTTTGCTACAACAGAGAACACGCAGATGCTGGTAGCTTATTGTTGGTCACCATAGAAAGGATGTGATGGAGGACATGAATTTCTTGGAAAATGGATCACAACCACCATCACACCAATAAGCAGTTTGACACTCAGGCTTTTGATTAGACTACATTAGTTTACAAAGACTGGCAGCAAACATTTGAAGCTCAAATGTGTACCTGAAGAGCCCTATCAGTGAAGTTCTTTAGCTGTGCCAAAACTTTTGACAACCTCAAACTACCTCACTTTTAAAAACTGGGTACACATGTTGATTTTGTCTGTGTACTTGGATAAAAATAAGCTCATGCCAGAATCTAAATAATTTCCCCAGCTGTCCTGACCAAAGAAAATGTTCTCGATGACCTCCACTCAAAACATAATTTCGAAAAACGGCAGACCTGAAAATGAGCAGACAAGAATCTGAATGCATGATTTAGAAATGTATTGCTAAGCAGATGCAAACAGCCTTCGCGCTGAGCCTTGTGAATCCCATTTTCCAGAATGACACTACAGGTGTCGGAGCAGTAGACATTAATATTCTGTATAAACAGTCTACTTCCTGTGTGTCACACACACACGCGCACACACACACACACACACACACACACACACACACACACACGCACACACACACACACACACACACACACACACACACACACACACACACACACCCGAATGGCTGCTTTCCATTCAGTTACACTGGACTAACAGACTTTAGGCTCTTTCACACCCCAGGAACAAGAAAGTTTTGAAGGAATATCGGAATATTCTCGTGGATTTCTCTGACTCACAATTTACAGACTATAAACACGATTATGGATATGAATGATTATAAACAATACGCGTGTACTGTACATGGGAGTTTTTGGGCACTGAAAGTGTAAAACATGACATTTTGAACAAAATGTACTTTCTGTAAGAGTGTTAACTGTTCACTCTGCATAGTTTCTGAAGTATTTCAAGGCACTCTTCTCATGTTTCTTACTATTATGAAAGGTTTGCAATTTTAGACCCAGAGGAGGCACTGCTCATATTTGTGCTTCAAGAAGGTATTCGTGCAAATATTACTGCCGCTGCGTACAAAACGATTCAGTATGGAATTCAAAATGAATTTAAAATGACTCGACATTTCCAGAGGGTATCCGGTCAGTATTCCTCTAAAATAGAACAGAACACATTCTGAAGCTCAAGTGTTGCTCCTCTTCCACTGGGAGCCTGAACATTTACAAAAGACTGAAAGACAAAGTAACAGTGTGCGGTATATAATGCAAGTGTGGATACTGCCGTCTGGCACGATGCCAGATATTTTAAAACAAGCCACACTGTCCATCTGTCTTCATCGTCCAAACAGTAAAGCACTCCAGAGGCACACCAGAACAAAAAAAAAAAAAAAAACCCCATCAAATTGACATGACAGAGTGCGTTAACACATAGCAGGAGAAAGTACTTCATTGTGCCAAGGCTCATATTCTTCAGAATAAAAAGACAAGCAAATTTATAACTTATTAAAACTGCAGTTTAAAAAAAAAGGATGGTGAGCTCAAAGGCATAGCCGATCCCAGCACAACTTCTTTTCAACAGAAAAAATTTTTTTTTGTTTTTTGTTTCAGGGGAGGGAAAACGCCTTTTTGGGGAATATTTGTGTGCGCCTATACAACATCTGGTCAAGAACCAAATCAGAGTTTTAAAAAATGTTATTATTTTGGAACTTATCCCCTCGACCCTTTTGTTTTGTCTGCTATGCGAGGAAAGCCCTTTCTGATCATCTGAAGTGTCAATTAAAAAGATCCACCAATAAACTTGGACAAGACCTAAATTGTGCAAATAGAAGATTGAGCAGTAGAATAGGTGGTGTACTTTAAGAATTAATGCCCCCCCTCCCCAAATATGTATCTTTTATTGGCTATTTTCAAGCGTTAAAAGTGCTCATCCCACATTTTTTTTTCAAATTCCAAAAACATGGTGGCCACTTATCATGTTCCAATTAACGGAACTAACTTGCGCTATAAATGAATTTTGCTAGATATAGATGACTGTTACTGTTTTGTAGGACTATTCAAGACCACTTTTTTTTTTGGATCCATACCAGTACTCGCTGATAGAGAGTACCAATACCTGCGGTACCTTTTCAGATATAAAATTTGATTTAATACAATGATAAAACATTGGAAACAAAACATTTCTTTCTGACACAGACAATGATTTTACAATGTGTGAAACTGCCGCATAGAATGCCAATTGTTGCTGAGGATGAGTTAATGTCAGACGTTCTTTACCTTAAGTATCGGTGCTCTGTATCGGCACCCTCAATGAATATTCGCTACCGAAAAATAAGGCCAATACCTGATACCGGGTTTCGATAGGCATTCATCCCCACAATAAAATATCTGCACTCTGATTCCCCCCCAGTGTTGCTCAGGGACTCTTGTGGGCATATTACCTGCATCTAGAGATTGCTATGATATGCAGCCCTCAGTTAATTTCAGTCAGTAACAACGCTTATTTATATTCACATACAATTTGAGAGAATTTCTAAATGGACTCATGAATGCATTCTCTGATATCCAAAACATGACTTTAAACATTGATATAAACACCAGAACATCACAAAAAAAACTCGGTTCACTTGCTTAGGCAACGTCATCTGAATCTGTCACGCTCATAAAAATCGCTCGTTTAATTCTATGTATACGAGCAGGAGAACATCGTGTTCCGCGTGATTTTTAATTCCGGGGCAATTCAGCACTCAGAGTCGTCCAAAAACAAGAAATGAACCTGCATTAGCCGATTCGTAGCTAGTGTTAGCCGATGTTGTGTGCATAGTTTGAATTCCTTTCCGCGACGCTCAGCAGCATAAACCGACAAATAAATGGCTAGAGCCCGGGCCTTTTAGTTGCCAAGAAGTTCTTGCAATGTCGGTGCTTGGCGAGTCACGTCGACTCCGTGCCGACGAAATACTTTAATGGAGTTTTGGGTGAACGCGATGCAGGTTTTCCTAAACACCGTTAGCTAAGTTGGCTAGTGAACGCTCCAGTCGCTGCGGGAGGAAAGTTGGCCGCGAACCGCCGTTATCAGCTGCTGAGATTTTCGAAGCGCACACAATTACTCGGCGTTCGGGGCTGGGAAAATTTTTTTTTTTTCCTATTTGTGGCAAAATCCCGCTTGAGATTTCATGATCAGTGGGCATCCGAAGAACGCGTTCCTACTGGGCTCAAGCTGCTGTGTGTGCGCGTTGATTGTAACGGTGCAGTGCCTCACTTGAAATGATCCCGCATGTTTGGTTGGGATCGACTTGGAAAACAAACTTCAGAGAATAAACTCGGCATTTTGCTACAGCACTCGGCTTTTCCAAATACACGGCAGATATTAAACAAATCGCGTTTGTCATCTACTCTTGGAGGATGTTTTTTTGTTCAAGCGTCAATCCCGACCCTCACAGCTGGAAGCCAGGATTCATTTACCATTGTTTTGCTTGCTTACTTGTTCTTCGCACTACTCGTTTCAAAACTGATTTTGCCGCCAAAAGACTCAGTGTTTACAGTTTCAGTTTTTCCCCATGCGGGCAATAGCAGTACCCTCCCGAAGCAGTAAACTTACTTGGAAAAGAAACGTACTCCAGCTTGCCTCCATTTCCACACTTAGTAATTCTGTAGGAAACCTAGTAGAAGCCTACAACAAAGCAACCAAACATGGCAGCTGAAACAACTTCCGGTAACCTTAAGGGTAGTACCATTTTACAAACAACACGGGGGTATGAGAGTTTAATGTTTTAGAATTGCGCATGTTTCAAGTTCTTAAATCAAATTATATATTTTTTCAATATGGATTTCATATTATTGTATCAATTCATGAATTGCTTGAGTAATAATTTACCCACCGCACGTCTCATGCCATGAAGACTGTTTTAAAAACTTCCCCATTTCATGTGTCTCCTGATTCTGTCCGTGCATATTTTATTGACTAACCGCGATGTCGCATGTGGCTGTTTCATGGATATTTTATGAATAGTCCCTCGATGGATGAAAAAATGTTTAAATGCATTTGCTCTTTTTATATCAACGATGTAATGTTTTCCTTTTTATCGATTAAAAGCATTGGCTCGATCAAAAGAGCACTGCGACTCCCTCTGACTGAGCCTTTCTTTTTCATTCATGAAACAGGGATGAATGAACTCTTGGTTGTGCACTGTGAAGTACTATCGTTCATATTAAGTATTCCTTAGTCTTTGCAGAAAATATTCTCATTACTATGCAAGTGTGACAATTTTGTGAGATTGTTACGTGCACCTGTGTATAGATTAAATATTGAAATAGCCTACAATAATTAATCTTTCTGGTATGAGCAAAACCATTTTTTTCTAGAGTGCTTTTGGAATATACGGGCCATTGGTGAACATTGAAAACTTTTTTTTCACCAACATTACAATGAGAACTTCACTGAGAGTCAGCTAGCTTGTTTTTATCTTAAACATGCGCGTTTGTTCAAATTGACCAGCAGAGGTCACTGCTGCCCGACTCCCCTAATGTGACGTTCATGTACACTTAGAATTTCAACCTGTCGTAAACGTGTAAATTTGAGCTTTAAATATCCTAACTTCATGGAATATTTTTAATGAAGTACACAAAACCGTTAAATTGGAAGCGTCTATTATGAATATTTTATCTTTATTTTTTAATTTATTTATGTATCGATTCTTATTTTTTCTGGATATACCTACGTGCATATGTGTATTTTTTTCCAGTGTTGGGACCTTAATTCTCATATCAACCACATAAGAACACAATACCTGAAGGCTGTTGAAGTTCTCTTTATCTTCTTTCTAAATAATTTTTACCTTATAGCGGACTGTGAATGCACCAGGAGTAAAATGTATCTTACCTGAGATAAATTCAAGGAAGAAAATCCCGAAAAGGTAAAGGTGACAACAACAGTTATTGGTCGGATGTTGTCTATTGCTTGTAATGTAGACCGTTATACTGTACTATATTTGTACACCCTCCATTGACATCCTTCCCTGAGGCCATCAGGTTTTTAATGAGGGCAAAGCAGCTTAGAATTATATCCCAGCACTGACTGGGCATTTCGCAGGACAAGATAGAAACACAGTTTTGGAGCATGCAGTCAATTCTCTACTGACAAAAAGGATAATATAACAAAACAGCAATGCATACTAGATGCGATTAGATTTTGAGAGGAAAATGCTGTATGGTTAGTTTTTTAAATTAACTTTTTTAATTGCCTTATCGTGACCAGGGAAACATGACGACGACGTGATTTTTGTCTTTTTACGCCGAAAAAAAAACGACGGAAGGGATGGTACATACATCAGCAAGGCAAGTTCATACATTAATTATTCAAATGCTATGATTATTCTGCTATTCATAAATGTTGAGTGCTGTGTGTCACCGTGAAACTGATACTGTATTTTAGGTCGTCTGCATGAGAGACGATCAACACACTGCATATTTTATTGTGTCGTGCAACAATGCTTTTAAGTTGAATGTAGGGCACTTTTCAGGTACACTTGCACAACCGGATAGAATCCAATAAATGAGCGATGTCAAACGTTCTGCCAAAAATAATATCAGAGACGTTTTCATCGAACCATATACAATATTCTATCTATCTATCTATCTATCTATCTATCTATCTATCTATCTATCTATCTATCGTGACGATAGTAACAGGTTCAATAACAGTCAACGGTCATTTCCATGATTATGGGTGTGATGCATCTGTTGTCTTTGACTGACACACAAATTCGTTTTGCTTTTGCAAATCACTTTTATCGCTAATATGCTAATATCTTAGAAACTCTTCACAGAAGTATTAATGAAAACTGTTTTTTTTTCCTCTCTGCCTTCCTCTTCCTCTCTGCTCTCACATTATACTGTCGGTGCTCCCAGGTGCTTGATGAAGATCTGCCTTTTTTGATTGTAAACACAATTTGAGTCAATAGGCTGTAGAAAAAGTCCATGATGTTTAATCTGATGAAGAAAGAGAAAGAGAAGGAAAAGGACATTGGCAAGAAGGAGAAAAAAGACAAAAAGGAAGACAAAAAGAAAGAGCGCATGTCCCAAGCCGAGTTGAAGAGCCTAGAAGAGATGAGCATACGCCGAGGCTTCTTCCACCTCAATCGGGGGAGCTCCAAGAAGGAATCAAGGAGCAAATTGGAGATTTCTGGTCCTATTCCGATCAAGGTGACAAGTAACCTGGATCAAAGTCTGGCAGACTTAGATGCTGAGCGCCTCAGCAGCTGTGACACCTTAGCGCAGGATGTGAGACCTGTCGAGGAAAACAAGGGTATCGACCAGGACCAAATACGCAGCTCTGTAAAGGAGAGAGCAGCTAAGTTTGGAGAGCTAGCAAAGATGAATTCTGGAATCGGCCCGAGGTACCCGGCCCCTTCCCAGAGGAACAATGCTTTTGATACCTCAAGAGTTTCTGTTCAGAAATCTAAGCCACAATATTTTCGCCAAGGAAGCAAACTTCAAAACATATATCGGGTACACATACCTGAACTTGTCGAAAAAACATTCCCTGGTGTCGACTTAGAGTTGCCGGCACTGGTTGCTCCCCCAATACCAAATCCCAGAGAACTGAAGCTAAAGCGACGCAACACGGGCGATTTTGGCTTCTCTTTGAGGAGGACCACCATGCTGGACAGGCAGCCTGATGGAGACGTGTATCGGAAAGTGGTGCACTTTGCAGAGCCCGGTGCGGCTACCAAGGACCGTGCTCTGGGCCTGGTGCCAGGAGACAGACTGGTAGAGATCAATGGGATCAAGGTTGAGAACAAGAGCAGGGATGAGATCGTGGAGATGATCCGTCAATCTGGGGAGTCGGTGTTACTCAAGGTGCAGCCCATTTTGGAGCTGAGTGAGTTGAACCGTAGCTGGCTGAGGACATCGCAGGGCCCATACAAGGAAGGCTTCAGTGTAAGTTACATTCCTTTTTTTTTTTTGAATTGCAATTTATCTTTCCTACAGGAAAATAACGTCACTCACTTTCAACTGTGCGCCTCAAAAAAATGTGTATGTCATGATAACATGCCATATGTCATGCATATACATGTGCACATAATTTTTTTTTCTCTTTCTCAAAGGAAAGTATGAAACCTGAAGTGGTTAGGAATGCCATCTGAATGATGCCATATGGCATGTTTATAACGCAGCAGATCAGAAAATAAATTCAAAATGAACAGTGCCGTATTACAGCGGGCAACACGTCACAGTGATTACGTGAATTGATTAAAATTTTTTTTTTTAAAAAGGCGGCCTACACAGTATGTCATTATTTTGATACATAATAATCTTACATTTTTTTCAGGGAACCGGATGCCTTTGACATTTGCACAATGAATGTTTATCCACACTGCCTAATAGAATGAAGGAAAATGAACATTTGGGGGCTTGTTCTTTGAATGTTAAAAGGCATCATGCATAAATAATATTTTTCCAGTAACTTCACTTATAATTTGCATACATTTATGGCTTGAATGTAAATATAATTCCATCAGTTTAACAAATTAAACAAATACTAAAGGATAACAGTCAAATGTTAAACCTGATATTCGTGTCTTTGTTGTTGGAAGTGTTAAGGGACCCAAAAAGATGTCATTTTATTTAGCATGTTTTTGTTTTTTTAATAATCATTGGATTTATTGGTTGTTGAAATTTTTTTCTAAATATTAGTTATCACAATATCTTTGCAACTGATAATATTTTTTACAAAATTGATGAAATTCCCAAGTCACGTTGAATTGATTCAATTATATCAATCTTCAGTTGACATCATGACATGCAATACAGATTATCCCTTTGTCTTTCTTCCAGACCAATAGTCTTGATGTATGTGAAAATGAGTACACATCCTGTCTCTGCCAGTTGAACGGTGGCTTTATTTCATATTTATGTGTAGAACAGAATATGCGTTTTCCAGTGCCATGGTATAAAACAGATATGAAGCAGAGTATCATCGTCTTGGTCCAAGTGTGTTATTTAAGGCTACTCCGCATCTGATTGTGGATGTTCTTTTTTAAAAAACATATATTTTTTTAAAGTTAACGTATAAGGCATGGATGCAATAATTCTGATCTTGGAGAAGAGTTTGTTAAAATACGGCCATCCATTTCTGCCTGGTATTCACAGGGGATTGTGTGTGCTTTCAGAGAGTGTTTTCTGGTGTGTATATCTAATCCCCCCCATCCCCCTCGCCCCCTTTGACACCAAACAATGGGATGCTAATGTAGACAACGGCCCAAACGTGACAGTCCAGGGCCATATGGTCGCTGGTTGGCTGCCTATTCACTTCTTTTTATGTGGATTATCATGTGTAACAAGAAGGGGCGTGTCAAACGTAACTCTTTATTTGACGGTACACCTGAAATTAATCCTTTTATAGGGGCTCACCATGACACGTTTTAAAAAACAAAAAAATAACACTCAGCATTTCTAAATATGTGCCTTTGACTTTTGACTTACACTAATACACAAACGGTATTGACATTTAATTGTATTTCAATAGAAGTAGTTCTTTTCTTGGTGAAATTATATATTTTACAACAGCATATATAGTCAGTCATGAGCTGTTTGGATTGGAAACATAATATTTCAAACCCGATTCCATAATTCAACATTCAATCAAAACATTCCCTCACGCATTTCCGTGGACCATAATTTAGCAATGAAGACACACACAGATTGTTTTTGTAAAAATGATACCATCCAATCAAAATCCCAGCTGGTGTTTACATTTCATCTTTTAAATCGATGCACATCATTAAGCTCCTCACACTCGCTCCTCACTCTGTCCTACATCTTAATGATCATCCGTAGCCAGGTAATTTAAAGAAACTACAAAAATGTACTTGAGAGGCTGACCTAGAACCAGCTGCACTATTTATAGGTGGTTATTATAAAATCTTGACTCTGGATCTAGAGCGGATGCATACCACGTACGCTGCATCAATATGGCTCTATTTGCAATTTCAACGTACTATTTAATATAATCTAATTGTGTTTTTGTATCGTTTGCTGCAACTGAATTAGATACCGATTTGAAATGGTGGTAGGGAGC